GTACTTAAATCTAATTTTTTTTTACGTATACAATCACAATTAAATATTTCAAGTTAAAAATATTTAAATTTTTTTTATGAAATGAGTTTTTCGAAAGAGTTTCAATGGCATAATTCTGCAATAATGGCATTATTTTTACGTGCATTGTACTGCTAAGATGTATTTTTGTTTAATTTTTCTCTTTAATTTTTACATACTGTTCAAATTAACTAAGGTATCACAAGATTTTATGAAGTACGTTAATGCACACTGACTTTTAGCATAAATATTTCGTACTGATATTATAATTTAAAAAAAAATTATAAAAACAAAAAATTATTCAAGATTTGTTTATGATATTCAATGACCTTATAATATATAATCGTTGATAGATGAAGAGCTCCAAATACAATTGTTTTTTTTAATTTTTCATCATTTTAACTTCAGAAAAAGTTTAGCTTCACGATGGATGAAGAAAGGGGTACCGTTAAAATATAATTAAAAAATGACGAAAGCTTGATATAAGTAAAAGTATTTGAGGAAAACTTAAAGTCCATTGAATAAATTAAACCATATTTTTAAAAAATTTTTAATTAAACGTTACACTTTTACGTACGCGTACACGTATGTATATAATTCACCTGAACATTTTGGATGATGGTAGTACATGCACATGAGGGTTTTGTATAAATTCGATTTATCTATAAAAATAGATTATAAGGAATAAAGTAATAAGAACACGAGGAAATATTTTAATTAAATAATAGATAAATATCAACCTTTTTCAACTTCTTTTAAAAATATGGTTTAATAAAGTATTTTAATGTTAAAAACAATCACTAAACATTTCTTTATGACGCGTCTAATTAATAATTCTTTCAACTAACACCTTTGTTTTTTGAAAAAAATTAAAGTTCATCTAAAAATACCTTTTCTTACCGTTGTCTTGTAAAATAGCTCTAAGGTTCAACTTGACCTGCTCTTGACAGTTCTGTTTTTAGAAAAATGCTAATGAGACTCTTAATGGTCGTGTGTACTGCCGTATGTTATACTTATTTCAAAGAAGTGAGCTTTCATGTTATATAGACTAAACATCAGTAAGGAAAACCAGATATACTTTTTGTGTAAATTATACATAAAAAAAAAGGGATACGAACAATAAAGTTTTGTTCTTTTATTTTTCAATAAATGTCATTATTTTAATAAAAAAATATTTTCTTTGCTGAAGAAATGAATTTTTTCTTATACAACAGAGGCTAATTAAATTTTAAATTAAATATTTGCAAACTCACCATTTGAAACTGAAAAATAGTAGTATGTGTGATTAATGTATACATGATATATATATTAAATCATTAAATGAACAAAACAGATAAGATGTTACCTAGATAACAAAATAGTAAGTACAGGTTTCGTATATACTAATATAAGTAATATTAATTCATTAATTCATAAAAGAAAGCAGCATAATCAACCAGAGTCACGAAAATAGAATTGAAAAAAAAAAACTACAAATTTCAGTAAGAGATAAAACTTTGAGCCGTAGGTGTGAGTTGTAACACTCGTGATACCACGATTTTTATTTCGCGCAAGATCCACCTTAATTTACCTCTGAATTATTGTGCAATGATTATGTTGAGCTGAGGCTGAAAAAGACAGTTTGAGATTGAAAATTTTTTTTCTATATTGTAATTTATGTAAAAATAAATTTGAGAAAAACAATTTATAATAACTTTTATGCGTGTATATGAACGCAAGTAAATATGGTAAAATAAGTTACAAGTCTCAAGCATCACAATAATTTATTTTTAAATTATAATTTAATTTAAATATCGATGACAA